CACAGACACCCATATCCACACCCTCAGTGTTCTATTTTCAAAAGATTGAATTGAGACAAGTCACTCATGACACAATGTTTCAAAAAGATAGATTGATTCTTTTCTTTTTATTTAATATGAAATGATTAAAAATATATTGTAAAAAAATTATATTGCACCACATATTACAGCAAAGGAAAAGAATTCCTCTTGATTTTACGCAATTAAAAATGTTAGGAATATCATTTTATTTTCACCCCCGCGCATTAATTTGTTTTGCAGGATTTTCTGTCTCCTACGTTGTACAAGCTTTACTATTGTTGTAATTGATTTACATAGAACTTAAGAATTATGCTAGAATAGTCATAAAGTAAATTTTAACTTCATTCTATAACAACAACTATTCACTAATTTTATTCATATGTTTTCAATTGTGCTCTGGTTATATTTCTAAATCTGAACTGGTATATTTTTATTTTCGAGCTTACCTAGTGCTCATAAATATACTTCTACGATATCATCCAAAATCGATAGGACATCTTGTTGTTTCATTTTATAATCTCAAATAAAGTTTCGTTCTAAAATTTTATTTATTTAACATCTTATGATATTGAACTTTTCTAAGACTTAGACAAAATAAAGAATTTTGTCTAGTGATAAATTATTCTTCAAAATAAACAAACCAGAAATGTTTTTTAGTCATATTCAATCTCTTCAAATTTGACTGATGTCATTCAAGTAGTACTTAAAGCGAAAGAATCAGTTTAAAATAAACAATTTATGCACAACAGTATACTATCTAACAAGATTTTATTACTATTATTCAGGTGCTAGCGCTACGAGCCGTGGTAGATACATTGAGAATCATAGTAATGATGCCTCTTACTTGTCTCATTTGGGTGTAACTCATCAGTTTTCTTTACCTACAAACGATTATCTTATTAGTTAATGAGCAGGTCATGTTGAGCCTGAAACTAAAATAGGTAACAAAGTAAACAATCAAACATATGATTTATCTTCGTGTCGTACTTTTTTATTCTCAATCTTTGATGGTTCAATTGCGACTTGCAATAGATAGTATACTAATTCAAAACTCATTCTATTTCTAATATTGAGCTACTGTTATTGCTTTTTAATGATGACATTTTTATTTTTGTAGAAGGGATTTGTTTTACAAGCCGAAAGTTTACTTCGTTTCTATGCCACGAACTGGAAACATTATCGATTTTCAAGTAAAGTAACAAATGCTTTTTGCCATTATCTAAATCGACATTGGGTACGACGAATGTATGATTCAGGAAGAAGAGATGTTTATGAAATTGTCACAGCAGTAAAGTTAGATTCTTTATCTTTTCAAATTAATTATAAAACTAACATAAGTTTAGATGGCGATGGAAATTTGGCACCTTGTTTTGTTTCAACCATTGCAAAATCAAGTAACATTAGCATGTTATCAATTAATCAATGCCGAACGTCAAAATGAAATGATCAATACTTGACTTATTCGTGCAGTTCTAGAAAGTTATAGTAAACATCAAGATTCTTTTTTTGTTTTTCATGAAATTTATGTCGGAAATTTTAGTCGAACTTGGCTTCGAGGAAAGTTCATGTGTACCAAATAATAGTGATCAAATAACATCTCAAACATTGAAAATCTATAAAGCTTACTTTGAAGTACCATGTCTTCAATATACAGAACAATTTTATCGTCAAGAAACAGCTAATTTTGTTGTTCACAATTCTATGTCTGAATACTTGAACAAAGTTTGTATTTATTTATAATAATGATACAACTTATTTTATGTTAATTTTAATAGGTATCACGATGGATTGATGAAGAATAGGCGTGTAACATCAGAAAGTTAGCCTAGGCTATCTTGGGAACGGCTGAACGTTTCGAGCTTTCCTTTGGTTTATAAAGGTTTTTCAACGTGCTCTTTCTTTTTGTCTCGAGAAAGTTTTCTCCAAACTGCTCGGAAGATGGGTTTCTAGAAAACCGAGGTTTTTGAGCTATAGATGTTGAAAAAAATGAGTTTTAGAAAAAACTGAGCGCTAGAGTAATTTTTTGAATATCATATTCGGATTCAACATCGAAGGACTAACATTTAAAAAAAAATTAAGTCTGTAACGCAAAATTCAAATTTATAAATTGAGTTGCAAGTTTTTAGAAGCTCAACACAGATAGGTGATAAAAAGCTGATTCAAGCATCATTCGATAGAGAATTTAAAACTGAGCAAACGTAGGGGTTTTGCAATTTTCACATACAATGTGATTATGGTTTTCTAGGGGATCCCTTAAACACCTGTTCTCTAATTTTACTGAAGTTTCAACATTTTTCGGTTTCAAACTTTGTTATCGAACTTCTTATAGTTTCTAGAATTAGAAATTAATTAAAATATCATAGTTCAACACTCAGCTTGCTTCTAACATCCGTATGGACGTGTTTTAGTCCATTGTGGCACGCCCACACCCACACCCACACCCTCACCAGGGAAAGTTCCATGATGGTATATTCAACATGAAGTTGGTATTGCAGTTACACTTCGAATCAAAGAAATTATTCGTACCAAGGAATTAACGTAGTTAAAATATTATTGTACTGCTTACTAATGCATCGATTCTATTGGTATTTTTTTCTTCTTTTCTATTTGAATTTATGTCGTACAACACTTAATTTAACAATCATAGATTATCTGTTAAGGTTAAGAGGCAGTCGACAGATAAGATGATAAAGAGTCGATGTTTGCTCTTATTTGTTAAATATTCTTCAATAACAACAGGATCATTCAACGATGTGAATGACAGCATTAAAACAATGAGTTGATAAAACTTCACATTTTACGTAAAAAAATGAATACCTGAATTGTAGTGTTGGCACCCATTGTTATCGATTAAACAATATTTTATTCTTATAATATGACATTGACAAAATGCACATTGTAAAAAAGAACGCGTGTCGTGCTTACTCGTCATGATTGGCAATTTTTAACAGATTTTTTCGATCCCATCATGTAAAGCTTTTATAAAGCTATCAATAAACAGAAACAAGTAAGAATACAAGCGATGTCGATGAATTATATCTCATTGTTAACGACTTTTTTGTATGTGTAAATTTACCAACGATTTTAAAGTGATTTAACTTATTTTTGAAGTTTTTTTTTTTAGGTTGATAGGTAAATAATAATATTCATTTCTCTTTATTTTACATACAGCTTGCCTATGTGATTATATAGTTCGAATTGAATGTCAAACATGTCAAGGTACTTTACCATATGATTCATGTTCGTCAAATACAGCATGTGGTTGTCTTCGTCTAGCATCTAATAATGATAATAGTAGTATATGTGCTTATCTTTCTTTGAGTTGTTCTAAATTGATTTCATGTGCTCCTAACAACCAAACGTGTTATCAACCGAGACATGTTTGTGTGGAACATCCACGATGTCAAAATCGTCCTCTATGTTATCCAATTGATATGACTACTAGAGAAATATGTCCTCTTGTACTACCAACAACAACAGGAGCAAGTAAGAAAAGAAAACTGATGAATGTATAATGTTTGACTATTGATCGTGTTAGCTACACCAATGATACCTGATGATGGTATATGTGCGAGTGCAAAATGGAATCCTAATGGAACTACTGTTATCGGAGGAAAAGGTTCAGGATCCGCGTTAGATCAACTTTATTTTCCATCGCATATAATTGTTGACCGTGATTCAAACGTCTATATCACGGACAGTTTCAATCACCGAATCGTCAAATGGGCGTTGAATCGTTCCGATATATTGTGTTCGATTTTTAAAAGTATTTTCTCTATTTGTTAAAATTATAGTTTCTGTTATAAATGAATATTCTATGCCTGGTACTTCTAGTGGTCAGGTAGTTGCTGGTGGTAATGGACCCGGCAATGGCACTCATCAACTTGCGTATCCGGAAGGTTTTGCTATTGATAAAAATGGAAGTCTCTTTATTTGTGATCCAGGAAATAGACGTGTTCAAAGATGGTATAACAATGATGATCATGGAACTACAATCATGTTTGATACTCATTGTTGGGGAATTGTGATTGATGATGAAGGATTAGTGTATATTTCTGACTCAGTTGATTACCATCGTGTAATAACATGGCCCGATGGTAGAACAGTCGCAGGTGGAAACGGAGAAGGAAATGCATTGAATCAATTATCGAATCCCTATCTGATATTTGTTGATCATAATCGATCGGTTTTCGTTGCTGATGGAGGCAACCACCGTGTAATGAAATGGTCCGCCGGAGCCACTGAAGGTTTAATTGTTGCAGGCGGAAATGGAGCAGGACATGAACTCAATCAGTTAGGTGAACCTTCCTCGGTTATTGTTGATCGAATGGGTACACTTTATATAGGTGAAGCTTTTAATGCGAGAATTACACGTTGGTTCAAAGGAAGTAAAGAGGGTATTGTTATTGTTGGTGGACGTGGTGAGGGTAATCATGCAGATCAGATAACAAAACAATGTGATATGGCATTTGATCGTGATGGAAACTTATGGGTAGCCGATTATTTTAATCATCGTATACAATTTTTTGCGATAGACAAAAGTTCTTGCAAATCACGTAAGTACACAGTTCCTTTTCTGATCAATGAATCTATCATTATTGTCACATTTTAGCTTAAATCGACAAATCAATCTCAATATGTAACACATGACATGTTAAATATTGTATGCGAGATTTGTGGATTTTATTAATGAAATATAGCTTCTGAGGAAATTAATTCAAACAAGAAATTAAACAGTAACTCCGAGGCATTAACGTACTAAGTCTAGAATGTATTGACAAAATAAACCTTACTTATATTTACTTACATATATTCAAGTGTGGACTTACTTTCAACCAAAGTAAAGTCATTAAAATTCAAGAGTAGCGCATAAAATATTCAGTAAAATTGAAAAAAGATGATTTAGCCATTTCATTACTTTGCTCCTTTCATTACAATCATCACTCTACGTGCTGAAAGTGTTTCAATTTTATCGATAATACTTGATGCCATCGAAATATGCTGTTATTGATCATGGTTAATCTGAATCGATATAAAATCAAAAACACATAAAAGAATTCTTGTATATTTGAACGTTAAATCAATATTCCTTCATACATTTGCTATGCAAGTTGTTTTTTCTTACAGGAAATAACTGAAAATTGGGTGTGGGGTGTGGGTGTAGATCTTCTCATCACATCGGCACTCATACCCACATCCAATGGCAGATTTCATCTTCATTCAATCTTGAGCTGCTTTATAACGAATAACAATAAATGAATATTCACATTCATCTAAACGTTCAACAAGATCATCTAAATTTTTAAAAAACAAATTTTATTTTATTCTTTTTATCAAATCGAACATTATTTCTCTAACTGACACATTTTTAAATAATATATTATATTAATCAACTAAATAACTCTAATTTTCATATTTCTTATTATTTTCGTTTTATTCTCATGAAAAAATCAATTTAATTATCTCTATTATCTTTATTTTAATTAAAATAAAATTCATTTTTATATATCTAACTGATTACTATTAAAAAAATGTTCGATAAAATAAAATCGTATATATATATATATCGAATATTATTTTAAGTTAAGAAAATGTTCAAAATAAAAAACTCATCGTAAATCAACTGGATTCGATTTAAAATATTGCGAAATGAAAATAATATTTTAATCGAGAGAAAATATTTATTTTATTCAACGATTTGTTTCATAATAAAAGAAAACAAAAAATAATCTTAAAAAAGTTAAAATCTAAGTTAGTTTTTTTTTAAAAGTCTTTATTTAATTATTGATAAAATTTTAAATCTTATATATCATTCAACGATCATTTTAAATAAATGTCAATATCATACAGATATTTAATTCAATGTATTGTCATTTAACGAGAAAACATCTTTAACCGGAAACAAAAATTCCTTTCTTAATTTAATTATTTTTTTTTTTATAAAAAAAATACTTAAAAAAAAAAGAATGTCTGATATAAATATAAATAAATATTTATTTGTTTAAGTTAATAAAAAAAAGATAGTGATGATAATTGTCTCTGTCTAAAATATAAATCTGAGAATATTTTTATTAATCGAAATAATAAAAATCTAAAATCGATTAATTGAAAAATCTTTTAATGAGTTCATTTATTTACCTCTGATTATCGATCGTCACGAAAATCATCTATCGAATTTATCTCTCGATTTCTAATAGAATTTCTTTGTCTTGTAAGTCTTTTGTTAATTTTAATGCAAACTATTTATTTCATTTACATTTAATTCCATTCTATAATATCAATTCTATATCAATCAACTCTCAACACACAACTATTATTGAAATATAGTTCAAATCTGATTGTCTCTTTCCTATACAAATCAATATGAGTAAAACAAGTCTGCCGGTTCTTATCATAGATTCTAATGTAACATTTAGCTAAGAACCGTTTGTGTTGTCATCAGTCTCCTCGGCCTATTACCGAAAGTAAACTAATCATAGTTGACTTCTAGCTAGTCGCTGCTACACTGATCAAAAAGGTGACATTGACAAATTGAAATAGGTTTCGAATTAGTTTCAATTGTCGAAAGGCTTTTTATTTTCAATGTATGAACGGGAAAAAACGCAAAAGATAAAGTTAAAAGTTCGACTAAGAAAATCTTATGATGAAAAAACATGATGAAAGTTTGAGAAAGAAAAACAAATTTATTTTATGTTCGATTTGATAAAAAAAGAAAAAGAAAAAGATTTAATCTAAAAAAGTTTGTTGTTGTTGAACAATTGAATATAATAATTTAATTAATAGATTAGCTTGATATATGGATGTTAAATATTGATTAAAAGAAATTGTTTGATAATCATTCGATGTAATATGTTGATTTGCTGTTAATGGTGTTAGATTTTGAGAAGATTTTGAATATCGGTATTCATTTAATGAATTACATAAGTCATTTAGTTGAAATTTATTTTCTAAAAAAATTCTTTCATCAATTATAGAATTTGTTAAAACAATTTCATCATATTGACGATTTATATCACGAATTGTTTCTAAGTAATTAAATTCATTTTAAAAATCTTCTTTTTTTTTATCAAGACGTTTAAATAAATCATTTTTTAAATGTTGTTCGATTATTTATCGACACATATCCGATGAACAGCAATACATCATACATAATTTATCGATTATACTTCCATCATTTGAACATAAGTCATTTAAACAACAACCTTAACAAAAAAAACAACACTTTTCTTTTTTGTTTTTTTATCTTTTTATTCAATTTATTAGATTTAGTTTAATTAAATTATTTCGATTATTATATATTTATTCGTTTTGAATAAATAATTCAAATTAGTTTGATGTTGTTGACAACAAATATCGATTTCTAACATAATAAACAACTCGAACAATAGATATTCGATTTATGAAACTCTACAGTTGATCTATCATCGTTTCAACAAAACATTTTCCATAGTTTAATTAAGAAAAAACAAGTAGAATAGGTTGAATAACTAGTTTAATATGATGAAATATTATGTCTAATATGAATATATATCCTTATATTTAATTTTATTGAATAAATTAAAATAAATCGTTTATCATAGATATATATATATATCTTACCAAATAAAATAAATATTTAAATTGCTCATCTATTAAACAATGAATATAATTGATGAAAATTCTCAGAAGATTTAATAGATATTTATATTTCTATTGTATATCAAGAATATATATTTATATATGAATATAATCAGTATTTGTAAATCTTATTTATAATTATATTATTTATAAATGATTATTAATCGATTGTTCATAGTTATAACTATAATATCGTTTAAACGATTAAATTGTTAAACATGATTTGAAATAATCATTAATCATATTCGATTATTTACGTTTTCATCGATTAATAATCATATTGACAAGAAAATAGGTTTTTTTTCTAAGTTATCGATATATATATATATATTCGATAAAAAAATATTTGAAATGATTTTTATTTAATAATACATTGATTAATCTCAAAATATTTAATTTAATTTAATTCTATATCGAACAATCGAAAATTGAATTTGTTTCAGATCTTATCTCAAAGACTTTTAAATAAAAATCCATATTATGAAATAGATTTTTATTTTAAAGATTTCCAACGAGTTTTGAAAAGTAAATTATCTTTTATATAGAAAATAAAACGTTTAAAGTTTAAATAAAATAAACAAAAAAAATCTATTAAGAAATCTTCATTTGATAAGAAGTGAAAAAGAAAATTTTTAATTGAAAAAAACGAAAATAAAAAATGATATGTTAATAATAAAGTCGATTAAAATGATATATATAAATAAAATCTTCTAATAGAGTGTTACCTTTAAGTATATAATCTAATTTGGCTAATTTGACATAATCATAAATAAAAGAAAAAACTAGAAATAAGTAAATGAAATGAAGCAATAAGATCATTGATAGTTGATGGATAAATTGTTTTAGCTAATGCATATATTGTCCATATAAGTGAATATAAATCTTAGTGTGAACATTTATTTAATTTATTTTTTGTATTTAGTTTAGGATTTATTTGATTTCATGTTCTTTTATATTGATAATCAGAATAAATAAATTTATATTGATTTCCACCAAATATTTCAATAAATATTTTTGTATATTTTTCAAATATAATTGATGATATATTAAAAACATGTTCCACATTTGATCGATTTTTGATCGAATTGAATCAGGTAAATTGGTCATATCTTCACATTTATGTAATTTATCAAAAAAAAAACAAATAATTCTAAATGATTAGCATTTTGTAATAAACGTGATATTGATATTGGATTACTCTGATTTGTTGTTAAATGTTTATATTTTCTACATGATACATATAATGAAACAGCTAACCAATGTAATTGATCACCTTCTAAAACATAATGTTTACGAATATGTTCATATGAACGCCATGCATCTAACTTTGTTTTCATATCCATAGGACGGATGTGGGTGGGTGTCGGTGTCGGTGTGAGTATTCCTTGCCTCTACACTCACACCGACACCCACATACCCACACCCACACATCCACACTCACCTACTCCACCCAAAATATTTTTTTTCAATCGAATCGAAATAAAAAGACTAGTGACATTTCACCGACTAAAATAAGAATATTCAATGGTGTTACATTCACTGGATGACGTAAATGAATTATAAAGTAATACAAAAAACATTAATTACAAAATAATTCAAAATTAATATCACATCAGGGTCTGGATTTAGTGCCCGCTAAACCACTTACATCGCGTCAGTCTCCCAATTTGAGTACAGCAAAACCTCGATAGACTCTACTAGATCCTGTTGTTTTACTGATTTCTTTTAATTATTGTGTAAATAATGCTTTTTGAATTACTATATATTTCATTTACGTGATGGTCTCGTTCCATTTTCAGAATTTTCTGAAACGATTTTCATTTACATAGAATTCAAAGAGTTAGTTAAACCCAGGTTACCTGGCGGTGGAGGGTGAGGCATAAAAGTGCAAAAAAACACACCCACACAATAGTTAAGAATAGAATTTAATTGTTCTTTACAGTCTATGTGATGTTCGTTCTCATAAAGCATTGACTCCGAGTATATCATTCGACTATTATCCTCCGTCATGGTTTTAATAGTATCTTCATAGCACCAGTGAAACGATATTTCATTTGTTTCATTACTATTTTAACTTAATTTTGTGCGTCTTACACCATTCTTTTGCATACGACTTTAAGTGTCCAGTGATTCCTGGTGGTTTAAATCGTCCATTACAATTTGAACATGAATAATAACCTTCCTTTATCCGTTTGTTCTTTATATTTCATCACTATGTTTTTGATGTTTGAATGAACAGAAGTAACCTGTAGATTTCGATTAATTAATTGTGTACAATAATCTCTGTTTCTAGTGTCCCTTCTCCAGTTTTTAATACCAAAATTCTCGATATCTTTCAGTATTTTGTTCTCTCAACGTTTGCTGATACCAACATTTTGAGGATGTTTGCTACCAGGAAAGTATGAAAACGTGACTGTTGTCATATTCCCTTCTGTTTACATGACCAAACCATCTTAAAAGATTTCTTCTCATAATGTCTTGAATTGTAGGTTGACCAGATAATTTCAAAATTTTAACATTTGATACGCAATCACTGAGATTTAAACCAAGTATTGTGCTTAAACATTTCATATAAAAACTACTTATTCTGTTTTCTTGAGCAACTGTCAAGGTCTATACCTCACTATCATATAAAAGAACAGGAAGTACGCAGGCTCGCAAAATGCGTAATTTGGCATTGATAGAGATTGCTGTTCTATACCAAATAACATTTCTAAACATGCTGAATGCTATTGTTGCTTTTGTTAATCTAGATTCTATTTTCTTATCAGACCGTTTATTTCTAGAATGTAAACACCCTAAATAACAAAACGAGTCTGTTATTTCAATTTTTGATTTCTAATTGTAAAACCAATATCAGGTTGACTGGTTGCTTGATTCTTTTAAAATTTTTCCATTTATATCTTGTTTAAAATGTTATAAGAGCATTATACATGTCTTCTTCACATTCATTATTAAGCCATCTTTTTGTGTTACTTTTTCAAAGACATCAATAAACATTTGAAGATCATCTATGTTATTACGCATTGCGAGTAGGTCATCCACATACACTAATGTTAGAATGTTAAATTTTTCGTACTTTTCTCAATTATGATGATAAAAATTATTGCTACCATAAGCTCATTTAATACCTTTTCGTGGTGCTTCTTCTAACACCTGCCTGATAATGAAATCGAATAGGATATATAATAAAATAGGTGAAGGAGCTCTCCCTTGCATAACACCAGTTTCAATAACAAAACTTTCGGAAAACACACCATTCATTCCTACCTTTCCTCTTGTATTTTTATATATTAACTTAAGTAACCGAACGATTTTGTTTTTGTTAAACCATAATGTTGACAAATTTTCCATAATAATTCTTTTTTAACTGAATCATAAGCTTTTTGAATATCTATGAAACACATAAACAATGGTTTATTATTTTTTCTTAATTTTTCTATAATCATTTTAACTATAAATATTTGATCTATAGTTGGACTGTTGGATACATAAAACCTGCTTGTCGTTCTAATAATTATTTATCAATTAATTTTTGAAGATGATGAAGAATTACTCCAGTAAATAATGTACTTGCTACTACTAATAGAGAGATGTCAAGATAATTATCGCATTGTTTTTTGTCACCTTTATTTTTAAAAAAAACGAATGAAAATGGCTAAGATCCAATGGTCGACTATTCCTTCATTTTGCCAAATATCAACAAATATTTCATGAAGCCATCTAAGAAGAGATAATTCACCTACTTTGAATTTGTCAGCACTAATATCGTCATTATCACGGCCCTTTCGACTTTTCATTCGTTTTAATACTTGATCAAGGTCTTCTAGTGTCAATGGTTTATTCTGTCTATCTCGTTCTGTTGTTGGTATTGAGAGTGTCGAGATGTGGTAAATAACATTTGAATCAACGATAGATTTAACATTTAATAACTCATAGAAGTATTCTTTCCGTCTGTCCAATTTATCCCTAGAACTGATAAGTAATTTACCATTTTTATCTTGAACAGCACTATTCTCTGAATTTTGTTGTCCATCTTTCAATCTTCTAATCGTTGCATAAGCAGATGCTGGATCACGGTTAAGGATAGCTGTTTCAATTTCTTTCCTCGATTCATCTCAATATACAATTTGACTTTCATTTACCATTGATTTAACTGATCTTCTATAAATTACGTATTCGTTTTTATATTTCTTCTTTTTCGGCGTACCGTGGTAGTTCTGCTATATCAAATAAGCAGATGATTTCTTCTCTACTACCTTCAATATATCATCAGTCATCCATTCTTTTCTCTTGTTGTTGATATTGTTTCCTATTTTAAAATGCATTTGTGCAGCTTCTTTAATACGTTGCGCAAAAGTGGAGTTTTTTGTAGTTAATATTAGCATCATCATCATCTTTTTTGTCTTCAAAAGCTCCTTCAATATCATTTTAAAAGTGATTAACTATATTTTCATCTTGTAAGTTGAAATGATCTAAATGTAACTGATTTTGTTGGAACTATCTTCTTCTTAATTTCAAATATAAATTAGTTTTAGATCGCATGAGATGATGATCAGTTCCAATACTTCCAGCTGCTCTTCATTAATACTTCATTTTAAATTTCTTGTTCACTAATGCATTGTCTTATGTTGAAAAAAAGTGTTTGAAATAACTATACCATTTGCTAAACAAAAATCGGCGAGTCTAATGCAATTTTCATTTTTAAGATCAGCTGCAAGGGGCCTGACCATCTGGGGCATAGTTGAATGTTCTTGTTTACCAACGTGAGCATTAAAATCTCTCATTAAAATAATCATATCACTCTTTACACCTTATCAATTGTCTCTTGTAAATGTAAACAAAATTAATCACATTTATCCATCATAGATGTGTTCTATCGATTAATTGGAGCATAAACAGCAATAGAAGTCACGTTTATTGGCGCAAAATACCTTTTAATCTTAATAATTCTTTTATTAACTGCCTCTCGTTCTGAACCTGATGACTTCCAAATATTCGTTGTTGGCTTGTTTAAACAAATCGCTATACTACGTGCTGATCTTGTTTTATTAACTTTCGGAAGTCCGGAATATATCATTGTAAAATCACCTCTTAATTTTATTCCTGTCTCATATATACCTGTTTAACATAATGCAGCCACTTTTATCTTGTACCTCTTTAACTGTTTAATAATTAGTTGTTGTTTATGGTAATAAAAATAGGAAATTCAACGTCTTATCGACTGGTGGCCACTGGCAGCTCAAAGTCGCCTACCCACTACTTTTAAGACAGACATATATCCCGGTAGAAGTTTTAACCCCCCTCCCCGACAGACTCGAATTTAAAGAGAAGCTTGCACTAAAGTGAGAAATTAAGATATTACATGGTGACAATGATATAGAATGACACGGCTTATGCAGTTGATTAGTATGTAAACTGAAGTATTGAGATCGATATGTCATGCGTTCAATTTTCGTTGGTTCTGTTTAGAAAATCTTGAAAAGATCCTGCCAAGAAACTCGTAATATCTTCGAGGAAACCTGATTAAATCCTGAAAGGGATGACTAGAATTTTTGTCTAATTTGGAATCATTCAAATACAGACAGCATTCTACAATTCTGTACCTACGCATGTTTTTCAGGATTTAGCCGTTTCCTCAGGAGAAAACAGCGAATGCTTGTAGGCAGTGATCATAGCCCTCACGAATCTGATGCTGAAACATCATAAAAGTTCCATAGTGCTATGCATGTTTTTATAATAATTGTTATCAACGTTAATATTCTTGATAATAATGATTATCCTCATGTAGGCTCTGTCAAATTTTATTATTTGTTTTAAACTTGTTTGTATTGAATTCGTTGGTTGAAAACTCAGTAGTTGACTAGTATGTTCAAGATGATATTCTCGAACATTAGCTGTTTTTCTTTTGACTTTTATTAATAAACAGCCAAAAAAGTACTAATGGAATAAAGCTACATGAATTGCTGATAAATACGGAAAACAATAAATAATATTCTATGTCAAATATTTGAATGTGCTAAATAATAGAACGAAATTCGATGGAAGATAAACTTTTTAGTATATCATGAAGTAACATATTGTTCGGTAAATGTAATTAGAAGCCCAGAAGCATGTGCTCTATTTTTGGTCATAGTGTTTATATTCTTTCAAGCTATCTATCTATTGTCACCGTACATTAATGGACAGAAAAAATCAAAACCGATGATGAGTTAGATTTGACTGATCGGTGATCACTGAATATGGATGTGGATGCTTTCTACACCACATAAAACTGGCACTGAGGGGATCTGATTTCCAGTAGGATATAAAGTAAAGATAAGAACCTGTGTCACAA